CGGGGCAGGTGCCCGCACGAGCCCAGCCGTGCTTTCGCCAGCACCATCATTGGTGGGTTGTCTTCCTCGGGAACTGAGAGCCTTTGGAGTGCCAGGACCAGGAACGGTCCCTGTGCTGGCTGGGGCTGGCTCTCAGCACCGCGGTGGGGGGTTTTTGCCCGGCGGGGAGCCGTACGCCGGGGTGGGGTGTTTTTGCCAGGCGGGGAGCTGTACGCCGGCCTCACCGCGGATTTCTTGGGCCGCGATCCCGGTGTCTTCCGCAGCATGGGGACCCGCTCTGCCCTGCGCACCGAGGTGGACCAGCGCCTACTCAATGGTAAGGGCTCCCCTCTGCCCCTCCATTCCCCCCAGTTGGGCTAATGCCGGGCACCACGAGCCTTCTGGTGGCCACGGCATCTGCTGGCCACGGTCCAGCATCCCCCGTGCCAGGTATGAGCTGGGAAAGGCACTGGGGCAGCAGAGTCTGGGGGTCCTCCTGGCCCACTCAGCCCCAGCGTGGCGTGGGGGTCCAGAAGCAGTGGCCGTGCCCTCTTGCCAGACCTGACATGGCTGGCTCTTGCTCGTAGACCCCAAATTTGTGGCAGCCCACTTGATCCCAGACAACGATGACCGGGACAACAACAAAGCCTATTTCTTCTTCACGGAGAAGGTGGTGGAGGCAGATAGCAAGGAGCATGCCATCGTCAGCCGGGTGGCACGGGTCTGCGTGGTAAGATGCTGGTGGGGACCACGGGGGACAGGGATGTGCCAAGTCACAGTGGTGGCCCTGATGCTCCCTGTCCCTGCAGAACGATGCTGGTGGCCAGAGGGTGCTGGTTAACAAGTGGAGTACCTTCAACAAAGCCCGGCTGGTGTGCTCCGTCCCTGGCCCCGGTGGCATTGACACCCACTTTGATGAGCTGGGTAAGGGGTACATGGAGCTGGGGACCTCACCAGGGCTGGTCCCTTAGTTGGTGGCTTCTGGAAGCCCCTGGCCTTCCAGCAGAAACCCCATGATTTCATCCCCAGAGGATGTCTTCTTGCTGAGGACGAAGGATGGGAAGAGCCCGGAGATCTATGCCCTCTTCAGCACCATCAGGTGGGTGGTCCAGCTCCACCCTCTGGGGATATCCAGCTGCAGCCACCCATGACCTGCCCTGTCACCGTCACCACGTGGCTGCTGGCTGCTGCCCAACCTCCGCCAGCTCTGCCCTGGTCCGTACGGAGATGTCGGTGCTCCCGTGCCCCCCACCGATGCTGCCGGTGCCGAGCATGGCTCTGCTCACCCCATTCACCGTCCCCTTTCAGCCATGTCTTCCAGGGCTCTGCTGTCTGCGTGTACCGCATGGCCGACATCCGGGAGGTCTTCAACGGGCCGTTTGCCCACCGGGAGAGCCCCCACCACCAGTGGGGTGCCTACGAGGGCAGGGTGCCGTACCCGCGGCCGGGCGTGGTAAGTGACTCCCTGGAGTTTGGGTCCCCTCTGCTCCTCCGATTGCTCTTTGGGGGGTGGTGGGGCCAGTCCCTCATCTTCTCATCTGCTGGGATGGGCTCCCTATGGGATTCACGCCAGGACAGCTGGGGACCAAGATCTGGCAAAGGGGTGCAGAAGATGGATCCTAAACTGGAAGGCAGGGAGGGACCCAAACCAGCTCTGTGGGGTGATGGAGGGGGAAGGAGGGATGGGTGCTGGGCTGGCTGGGCTGAGCTGGCCCCCTCTTGTCCCTACAGTGTCCCAGCAAGACCACCAACCAGCCCCGGCGGCAGTACAGCTCCACCACGGACTTCCCCGACGAGGTGCTGCACTTTGCCCGTGCTCACCCCCTCATGTACAAGCCCGTGTACCCCCGGCACCGCCGGCCCCTCCTGGTGAAGACCGACCTGCCGTACCGCCTGCGCCAGCTCGTGGTGGACCGGGTGGAGGCTGAGGACGGGCAGCACGACGTCCTCTTCCTTGGGACGGGTGAGCGGCAGGAGCAGCGTGCAGGAAGGAGCCTCGGCGCTGGGGCTACCAGTGGGCACGCCACTGGGATGCGCGATGGCAGGGTGCTCACACCTCCATCCTCCTTCTCCTCCCCACAGACGCTGGCTCGGTGCTGAAGGTGGTGGTCCTGCAGAAGATAAGCTCGGCCACAACTGAGGAAGTCGTCCTGGAGGAGCTGCAGGTTTTTAAGGTGCTGTTTGCTGCCTGGCTTCCAAGGGAGGGGGGCAGCAGGGTGGGCTCAGGCTGGGGACATGTGTGGGGACAGAGGCTCAGGGCTGTCACCGCATTGTTGGGCACTGGGAGGTCTCAGGTCTGTGAGGGCAGAGGGTAGCTGGGGGTGTTTTCACCCTTCCCAAAAACATTCCCAGTGCCCCTGCCTGAACAAGCCGGGGTCTCTGTGGTGAGGCTTTCGTCAGCCTCGTGTCCGCTCTCCTCCCCTGCAGGCACCTGTGCCCATCACCCAGATGGAGATCTCCGTCAAGCGTGTGAGTACAGACACGGCTCAGTCACGGGGCTGGGGACGGGGCAGGTGACCGGGAGGGGCTGAGTTGTCACCAGCCTCTCAAAGCCCGCATGGTGCTCACCCCGGGGGTCCCGGCTGGGGACCCTGGGTGCCGTGCCCACAGGGGCTGCCAGCATCACCATCTTGGTGCTGTTCCCCCAGCAAACGCTCTACGTGGGCTCCAGCCTGGGGGTGGCTCAGGTACGGCTGCACCGGTGCGAGACCTACGGCATGGCTTGTGCCGAATGCTGCCTGGCCAGGGACCCCTACTGTGCCTGGGACGGCACCGCCTGCACCCGCTACCAGCCCTCTGGCAAGCGCCGCTATCGCCGCCAGGACATCCGCCATGGCAACCCCGTGCACCAGTGTCTGGACCAGAACCTGACTGGTGAGAGACTGGGGAAGGCCCATGGGGCTGGGGGCTTGTCCAGGTGCCCCAAAATGACCCAGTGTCTGCAGCCCTCGGAGGGCTTGCGGCCATCGCAGGTGGGCTGGGGCACCCTTGTCTCCCCGTCCTGTAGACCAAGGGGTGCCCCACGAGAAGGTGGGTGCTGCTGGGGCTGGGGGTCTGTCCCCAGGGAGAAGGGGACTGAAGCCACACGGAGGAGGCTGACACCTGGGTGTGTGGAAGCCTGGCTCTGCCCTCCCCGCGAGCCCGTGCTTGTCTTTGCCCCAGTGGATGATTTTGAGAGCGTTGAGGAGAAGGTGCTTTATGGAGCGGAGGACAACAGCACCTTCCTGGAGTGCGCGCCCCGGTCCCCGCAGGCCAGCGTGCAGTGGTTCGTCCAGAGGCCCCCCGACGAGCAGCGGGACGAGGTGAGGCTCCCCCTTGCACCTGCCTTGCTCCCCTTGCGAGGACACGGGAGGGACGTGGGGCCGGACCTGGACCCCCCCAACCTCACGATGGCTGACAGGTGAAGACGGACGAGCGGGTCCTGCAGACAGAGCAAGGGCTGCTTTTCCGCAAGCTGCACCGCCATGACGCTGGCATCTACTACTGCAAGACGCTGGAGCATGGCTTCACCCAGACGGTGGCCAAGACGGCCTTGGAGGTGATCACCAGTGAGCAGCTGGCACACACCTTCCCCCGGCAGCGGGGAGACGAGCCCCC